TTATTTTTATATATTTAGCCATTACTAGCAAATCCATCGACAATAAATTCACCTACAAACGTTCCACCGGCTACTACTACAACTAATTCTTCAGTCGTTCCAATATTATCTAGGTCATCATCAAATAATTTATTTGATGATTCAATTGATCATGTCTGGGTATCATTTCCTTTACCCATCACATCACACACATTCAACATCGAATTCATCCAAACGACCACGTACAAGTACAGCTAGTGCAAAACAAACTACTACAGCACCTAAAAAACTTTTTTCATATACACTTTATGATCGAAAATATTTCTTTCAACATTATCACCATACAAGTGGTATACGATTAAGCAATAGTAATCATGATAATGAAACAACTTATTATACGGATATTACACGTGAATATGCTGGTTCAGTTGAACAATTATTTTAAATCTTACTTGAATATGTTGGTGTTGAAATATCCGTTTCATCATCAATTGAACCATTATTCGAAAAATTAGGGCAAGCAGTCCTTGCTTCAGCACAAATTACACGATTTGATGTTAAAATTTTACCAAATGAATCAACAAATGAATGTCAACCATTAATCCGTCATCCTCCACAATCACCACCATCAGTCGTTCAATTTCGTTTACCACATATTCGTCAATCAATATTAAATACATCAAATGAATTAGCAATACTTTCCGTAACTAATTTAAGTATTCAAAGTGTTTGTAGACAATCATTTGAATATGATCAATTATATTCTGATAATGTACAAGTTGGTACACGTGTTCAACGTGTACAACAAGAGGTTAATTTATCATTTATACGTCTTGTTTATCAATTTTATACAGTTGTTGGTAATGCACTCGAATATACAGGTATTGATGAAATAACAAAATCAGATACGAATGCAAATACAAATGAATAACAAAATAATTTACAAGATAATTCTACTATTCTTACATCTGAAAATGGTATTCAAACTCTTGTTTTAAAATCACTTGACCCAAATATTCTTTATCTTGATAATAATAAATTAGATAATGCTGAACGACAATGTTGAAAAAAATTACATGAACTTGTTTCTAATTATAGAATTTTATCAGAAATAAAACCAGATCAACCGTCAATAATATCACGAAAACAACAACAACATCCAACACGTCATATGGCAATAAATGTAACAAACGAAACACTTTTACTTTCGTCATTTGGTTGGTTAATTATTGATGAAATATATTATGCAGCTTCTTTAGGTGGTTTAAAAGTTGATGGTTGTATGGGAAAAGTTCAAGGAAATGTTAGTTTATCACAAAGACTTCGAGCGTAACAATCAACAACAAATAATCAAAATACAAAGAAGTAAGATCAAGATTAATATTACACACTTAATTAAATCTAATATTTAGATATGATGGTCCATTAATTTTTAAAATTGGTTCAACATCTCTTTCTTTAAAAAAAACTCTTTCTACGCATACCGATAATCTTCCATCGACAAATATTTCAACAATTCATCCATCATCGTCTAATCGGTAAATATCTGTTCTTGATATAATTGTTGGTAAATCTCAAGCATTAACATCACTTCAAACACGTGACATTAATTTAACATTAAGTGGTGTTACAAATATTGATACAATTGCAAGGAATGTACCATTAAGACCACAAGAAGTTCATGATCTTGTTAATCGTGCTGGTCGTTTAATAACATCTTATGTTCAAGAATTTCTTCCCGGTGATATACAACAAATATCTTCAATACCAGCAACAACTAATACAGATAATGACTTAATTAATACAAGTTTGAATGATATTATTGAAGGATCTCATACACCAATTCCATCAGAACAAACAACAACAAAAAAAAAACGTTCAGATGCACATTGTAAAGATCCAATTATTCATAATATTAATCGATGTCCATTAGAAACTCAGCAAAATATATCAATATCATCGAAACGGCCTATGTTTGAAACTCACATAACAACACATTGTCAAGGATTAACATTTTTTACAACACTTCTTTCAACATTAAAAGTTCAATATAAAATAGGTGTTACTAATATTGGTGGAATGAAATCACGTTTTACAACTATTATATATGAACATGCTTTACATTTTTAAAATAATAATAATTCTGTACGAATTGATTTTCCTGAAATACGTTGTTATGGAAATTATTCTATTCAACAAGAACAAGAAAATAAAACAAAAGATCATTTAAATCTTCATACAAAAATTGATGTATTTAAATTAACTGTAACAGCTGATTATCTTGCACAATTAATTTTTGTTTCGAAAGTAATTATACATGAAATAAATGAAATTAGTGAAAAAGTTTCTGGGTTTGATTAAGTTTATTTTGGAACAACAAAACATACACGTTTATCATTATCATCAACAGTATCTATGATACGTATTAGTTCAACTAAGACAGAAAATGAGGATGATGATGAACCAAAAAAAGATCAACACCATCAACATTGTTTACATATCAAATAGATATATCAATGAAAGGTTTTGAAGTTATGGGACAAATGCCATCAAATACAATAGTTAAATATGAAAACAGTGATAAAAAAGTAGCAATATTTGTTGAATTAACAAATTATAAAGAAACAAAATTTATTATTACTCCATAATAAATCATCAATTAATACTCTTAAATATTAAACTAAGTTTAGGACAATTATTACATTTAAGTAGTTTTCAGGGTGCTGCTTATTTTCAAACAAAATTACTTTTAAAAAATTCATTACATGTAAGTTTCAAGTTTTTTTCTCTTTTAACAAAAAACTAAATTCTTATTTTAGTCGGATGATCCAGATAAAGAAGCTTATTTCATTCATTTAACAAAACCAAGTTTCTGTTGGCAACCTGGTGCGATTGATAAAAGTACATAAAACTTCTTGTTTTGCTTTTATGATTCAATATCTCTTACAAATAGGAGTACTTTTTTGGTTAAATTATAAAAGTACATATGAACATTGGAATGAACAACGTGGTGCATTTACGACTCCAACAAGTGATTCAACACGTTTACGTTCAATTGTTAATGTTCCAATATCTTCTACACCTAATAGAGAACTTAATTTTATGTTTCAATTACATATTTTTGATTTAGGTATTGCTATACCACTTCAACAATATGATCCACCAACAAAATTAACAACAACAGATAGTTTAACATGATGAAGAATCTATTCCTATACTTGATCAAATAACAATATTAACATGTTCATGTGATACAATAATAGGGTGTGGGTGTTGGTATATCTATCTTCTCTTAATCCATACCCACACCCTCGTTTTTACATCAAATATTAAAGTTCGTTCAGTAAAACCTAAAAACATTCTACGAAATGAAATAAACTTTGATTAGAGACATTAAAAAGTTTAAACAAAAAAAGAAAATCACTAACAATTTTAAAAACACTGCGATTACGTTGATACTTGCTTTCAACATAGGTTACTTTAAAAAATTGGATATTTAGAAAATTTTGAAATTTATTTCTTTAACTAAATCTTGAGGAGTACCAGGGGTAGCTTTTAGATTGTAAAAAACTTTTAAAACCGGTAATAAAGAGTTTTCAGAGCATTTATATCCTCTATTGCCATATATGCCAAGAGAAGGAGTTAATATAAAACATATTATGCACGCTAGAAGCCCTTTTTGTTATCAATGAAACATTAGAAAAGAGTGAGTTTTAATTGGCTTGTTTTCATTTCAGATATTGTTTGAAAGATGCCTTTCTACAAAAAAGTTCAGCTTAGAGTTTTGAGTGATTCAAAATATGGTCTCAATCAAAAGGGACTATTCGCAGTTGAAAAAATATACAAAGATGAAGAGTTAATTTACGAATACGATCCGTTGGTCGAAGAATGGCCATTTTATCCTGATAATGATAAACGAGGAAAATATACCAAAGCAGAATTATGCAAGTTGATTGAATATAACTCAAAATTAAGCAAACTTATCTATTATCAAGCTTACAATGTTGACGATGATTTATTCAACGTTCCATTCAAATATGCAAATATGGATTCTGATAGTGTTGATGATTGCGAAAAACGTTTCCACCAAAAGCTACTAATGAATCATTCTTGTGATCCAAATGCTGGCTTCGTTCAAGGTCGAAAATGCTATGCATTTCGAGACATTGATATTGGCGACGAAATAACACAGCATTATGGGTGTATAGGTACCGAAAAATCTTTTTATGTCGGATTAAAATGTCAATGTGGATCAAAAGATGAATGTCAACAAATTCTTCGCATGGATTTTTATAAGGATTTAGTATGGCGACAGAAATATGAGCCATATTGCGTTCCCTATGTTAAAAAGAAGATCCAAGAATTACTAAACAACGACGAAACAATTGCTGAGAGTATGTAATTTCGAATGAACTATTCCAATAGTGAACAATTTATTTAACGTAGTGATAGAAGAGAAGAGAGTTTTGCAGCGAAAAGAACTAATATTATTCTTATTTGATTTCCCATTGATATTAAAGAATATATCTCTCTGTAATATTTCGACTAATTATGTCAGTTCTCATCATCAGAGCTCAAAATGTTCATTTTATTTATGTATTAGTTAATTGTTAACATTTGAGGAACTTAACCTGTTTGTAAGATAGAGCAATCATTTACAGTAAATAATTTTTTCCAATTGATTGAAAACTATTCTGTGAGGATGCATTTCGATTGTACACACAAATCATCTATACATTTTTCTTATGTGACATACTATTTCTTTCTTTTTTTCGTTTAGGTACTGTAATCGATCAGCAATTGTCCATGACCAGTGCTAGTATGTTTTGGCTCAATGCTCTTCATGGTTATAAGTTTGATCAATCTCTACCATTACCATATGATCGATACCGTCTTGAGGGTGAAAAACGAACTGAACGTGGAGTATCTGTTTCCTTCGATCTCAGTAAAGATTTCTCACATCACTTTCTTTGCTACGTATCATCAATGAATATAAAACCTGAACATCTTGTATTTGCCACTTATTATGCTTTTATATTCAAGTTAACAAGTGGAGAGAAAGATTTATGTGTTGCCATTAATAAGAATAGTCAATATAGAGACGAATTTAAAACAATGATTGGTTTCATCGAAAATGTTGTTCCATTACGATGTCAATTAGATCCTCATTGGTCTTTTCAACAATTGATTGAACATGTTTGTGAGATAGTAACGAGTACTATAAAGTATTCTTATTTTCCTCTTCAAAGCATTCTTGCTCAATACTCCAATACTGCAAAGCCTGCGTTTCTAGACACAATATTCGAATTTCTCTCATATGAAAATTACAATATGAAGAATGAAGTAATGATTGGTGATGATCGAGTTCATGCTATGTCAACAAGCTCAATCCAAATTAGTGACGGAAAAATCAAGAACAAGTTTGATTTTTCTCTTACGATTCAACATAATCTCGAAACTAATCAACTCTCCTGCACAATCGATGCATCACTTGACTTATTCAATCTTGATACTATCGAGAAGATTGCACAACGATTTCATTTCATAGTAAATCAATTATCTGCATCTATGATTGATAATCAAATGAACAAACCTATCTTTGAATTATCATTATTATTATCAAATGAGCAATATATGATGCAATCACTGAATAATACACAAATATCTTTTCCATCTCCTCTCATTTGTATTCATTATGAATTTGTTTGTCAAGTGACGAGAGGTACACAAAAACTAGCTGTTGAACTAGATGAACAATCGTTGACATATTGTGAACTATTATATTATGTTCAGCTGTTATCTTTGAATCTTGTGAATGAACATAGATTGGTCCCAGGTGAGGTAATTTGTCAATGTGTAGAACGAAGTTTATCAATGGTAAGTTAATCGACAAAAACAATAGCTCAACTGAATAATATATTGCTGTTCACTAGGTGATTGGCATGATGGCAATTGAAATGGCTGGTGGTGTTTATTGTCCATTGTCATCTCGAGATCCACAACATCGTTTACATGCACTCACACAACAAACTCAAAGCCGTCTTGTTCTTGTTCATCATTTAACTACGACGAAATTGAATCATGATATTGTTGCGCTTGATATTGATTCAATATTAAATGTTAATAATATGGTTAGTGACATTAATTATAATTGCCTTTCAAGTGTGAAAATGAAAGGTGGAGAAATAGCCTATATTATTTTCACTAGTGGTTCATCTGGAATTCCGAAAGCGGTACGATAGAAAGATTATCACATAATGTAAATTTGACACTGAAAGTTTTTATTCTAGGTTCAACTAAAACAGCAGAATTTCATCAATTCAATACTGGGTTTCGTTCAGATGGATGCACTTCACGAAAATGACACTGTAATTCAAATAGCTAGTTCAACCTTTGACGCGCATGTACAGGAAATTGTAGGATCTCTAATCTGCGGTGCAACAGTGATCATTCTACACCCACAAGGAAATATGGATTTTCAATATATGAACCATATTTTACATGACAAACAAGTGACATATCTGGTAGCGGTTCCGACTTATCTCAATCATTTATGTGACTTCCTGAAACAAAATAGATTTCCTCCATGGATACTAATGAGAAATATTTGCTGCGTCGGTAAGTTGAGCAAAAGCACGCAAAATAGAATAAATATTGATTAATTTATCAACCTAGGTGAATCTGTCTCATCAGCTTTCATCAAATTACTGATGCAGTTTGTTGCCGTAGCCTGTCGAATTTGGAATTTTTATGGTCCTGCGGAAGCCACACTTGGAACTACATGTCACTTAATTGATGTGACCTCTCACATGCATGATCTTCCAATTGGCAAACCACTACCTCATTACATATGCTTATCTCTAAACAACTTCTTGCAATCTGCTATGATTCAAGAAGAAGGAGAACTACTAGTGGGAGGAGTAGGTGTGTTTGCTGGGTATCTCAGACGTGATGATTTAACTACAAAAGCTCTTGTTGAAATAGATGGTCAACTATTTTATCGAACAGGTGATCTTGTTAGAATAGATAACAATGGTCTTCTTCATTATCAAGGAAGAAAAGATCATCAAATCAAATTACATGGACAACGAATTGAACTTGGTGAAATCGAACGATGTTTACTCAACATTACATCTATATCTACTTGTGTTGTCATGAAATGGAATGATGACTATTTAGTTGCTTATGTTCAAAGTTCTGATACTAATGAGCAGAAATTGCGTCAACATTGTCAATCTCATCTTCCACCACATATGATTCCTTCAATATTCATGATACTTGATAAATTACCTTTGAATGCAAATGGAAAAATAGATCGAAAACTACTTCCTTCACCTCACTTCTCATCTGCACATCTCACAAACAGTACAGAACTATTACTACCAACAAATTATATTGAAGTTAGCATTCATCATATCTGGTGTGAGATATTCAAACTAAATCAAATCTCAACTAATACAAATATATTTACTATTGGTGGTCATTCACTACTTATCATGCAACTATTTCATCGATACAAGATCGAGTTTTATTTAGAAACAAATACTCTTTCTATTTCTAATCTATTTCAACGTCCAACAATTATTCATCATGCTCAACTCATTCAACATTCTATCAATATCATCTGCACTGTGGATGATTATTCTTGGTCTTCCTTACATCTCACTCAAGGTAGTAAACAAAATAATTTGTACTAGATATTATCATCAACTACATATTTATTCTTTTCCTCATTTGTAGCGGGAGCATCATTTGCACAAGAACGGATCTATTTAGATGAACAAATTCGTTTTTCATCCAACAACACAACGATTAATAATATGTATGTTATTCCATCACTTTATCGTATATCATCTATGAATGATCATTTATCTATTTCACGATTACATCATGCATTCGAAAGTGTTATCAAAAAACATAATATTCTTCGAACAGCACTCTGTCTTGATACAAATGGTAATATTATGCAGCACTGTTTAGATGGAAATATCATTCTCAATGATGATATGAAATCATATGGTTTGACAATCGCTAATATTTATAATGGTGATCGTCGTCACATGAATGAAGTTATTGAGGAAATATTAAGTCAATCTAATTTATTTGAGTTATCAAAAGGACACGTTATTAATTATCGTATTCTTCGTCATAACCAATCAAATCATTCATTTTCTAATAATGAGGATCAGTTGACTAAAGATGATCTAATATTATTTACCATTCATCATGCTTGTTTTGATGGAGCATCGACATCCATTTTCCTTCGTGATCTTTCTCTTGCTTATCAATCTGATGGCTCATTATCTGTGGATGATAACGCATTGAATTATATAGATTATTCTGTGTATGAACATATCATGGATATGTCATTATCTCGTGAATTCTGGCATTCTCAGCTCGAAGGATATAACATCGAATGTTCATTATTATTACCAGCGGATCGACAACGTTCATCAACTAATCAACAACGAACAGGTTTAGCATCCACAGCTGAAATCACTTTTGATAACGAATTATGCACATCATTTCTTAACTATGCATCATCACATCATCTCACACTCTTTCAACTTGGATTATCTATATTCTATGTTCTCCTATTCAAATTAACTCATGGTGAGACTGATTTATGCATTTCTTCTATCAATGCTAATCGATTTCGAAGTGAACTAGTGAATATGATAGGAATGTTTGTTTCAACATTACCATATCGCCTAGAAATTGATTCTCATTGGTCATTTGATGAGCTAGTTCAACATGTACGGGAGAAATGTTTATCAATTCTTGAACATTCTCATTATCCATTACAACATATTCTTGATGACAATCGATCAAATCAGTCGAATGTGTCATTTCTTGAGATAATGTTTGATTTTATTAGTGTGTCAAAAGATATGGAACATTTATGTTTCAATGATGCAAATTTAGAACGAATATCATTAGAACAATCAACTGAAGTGTCTAAATTTGACTTCTCATTAACATTTGAATATAATCCATTATCAGATAACAAGAGATTATCATGTTGTTTTGTTTGTTCACGGGATCTATTTGAAAAATCAACTGTTTCACAAATAGCTCAAAGATTTCACTATATGTTTCAGCAATTGTTTCAAACACAATCGAGCAACACTCCTGTAATGAATGTGAGTTCATCGATTAACAAACTGTCTCTTATTCTTCCTGAGGAAACTGAAGAAATGAAATTGGTAGTGTTTCATCGATTGAAGAATATTTTGAATGAAGGTATGATTGTTTGCAGATTGTTCTAATGTTTTATAAAAATACTAATTCGTTAAATCAGTAACGATAATTATGCATTAAAGGGCAATGTTGAGAGATACTATTTCCAGTTTTTCAATGATTTTTAACGGAATACGTAATGAGAAAATAGGAATTCAAATAAGTTATAATCGTCAATGATTCAGATTGTTTTTTTCAGGTGCTCTAGTTTTGTAAATTTTAACGAGATATAGTTGAAGACACTGGAAGTGAGTTAAAGTCGGACTTATCGAGAAATTTTCGCGAGAGACGTCTAAGTTAAATTGTAGAGATTTCTGATGATTATTTTCTTTGAATATGTGAATAGTCTTGTATTTTTATATTAACCAACTGATAATAACACCTGTCGTTGCTCGAAAGTGGTATATTTCTTTGTGAGAAACTGAACAACTGTGATAGTAAAATCTTTCATAAGTCTGTTTATGTATAAACTGGCAATCTCTCAAAACTAAGATACGCTCGTAGATTTCATGCTAGAAAACAAATGCTGTTTAGTTAGAGAGGCGATTAGATGAAAAGTGACTACACTATTGATATCATGCAGCATTTCCCTATCCAGCTTTCACATTATAATTCGCTAAGTTCTCATTATTCTAGCACCAGCATCATTTGCACAAGCTCGTATATGGCTTGATGAAAGAATTCGATTCGATCCAGAAAAACCTCAAACAGCAATCTATAATATGCCTTTTGTTTATCGTCTGCAACAAGGTCATACTTTATCGATTAAACAACTTCGTCATGCTCTTCATCTCACTGTTAACAAACATCCGTCACTTCATACATCACTTCATTTTGACAACGAAAAGAATCTACTTATGCAACGAGTTATTACTCATGAACATGAAAATAATAATGATAATATGTTTTCAATCATCCAAACTACTTATGAAACAGATCAACAACTCAATGACATTTTACATGACGAGAGACGCAATCCTCCTGTTTTTGATCTTGCTCAAGGTCTTGTCTTTCGATGTCATCTTGTTTACTACAAACAAATCTCTTCAAATCAACTTCTTTCTGACAAAGATCTACTTATTTTCAACTTTCATCATGCTCTATTTGATTTTCCATCAATGAATATCTTTCTTCATGATCTCAATCAAGCATATACAACAGATCAATTATTATATGATGACAACACTAATCTTCGTTATCTTGATTGTAAATATAATTAGTTCTTACATTTTTTGTCGTTTTCCTAATACATTCTTTTCTTTAATTACATAATAGATGCTGTTATTGAACAACAAATGTCAATGACTGGCGCAAGTATGTTTTGGCTTGATGTTCTTCATGATTGTAAACTCGATCAATCATTACCGTTACCATTTGATCGACATCGTCTCTTAAATGAACATCGAACTGGTCGTGGAACGTCTATTTCATTTGGTTTTGGTCAAGATCTCTCATATGCCTTTCTTACTCACGCATCATCAGCTAATATATCACTGGAACAACTTGCACTTGCTACTTATTATATGTCTTTATTCAAATTAACGAATGGAGAAAAAGATTTATGCATTGGAATAAATACACATGGTCGATATAGAAACGAACTTCACTCTATCATTGGAATGTTCGTGAACGCTATACCTTTGCGATGTCAACTCGATCCTCATGCACCATTTCATGATATTACTAGGAACGTTCACGATAATATGATAAACTGTATGAAGTATTCTTATTTTCCTCTTCAACGTATTCTCAATCAACATCCAAATATATCAAATCCTGTATTTCTTGACACATCATTTGAATTTATATCATCTATGACAACAGATGAGGAAGACGAAATAATGATTGGTGACAGTCGACTTTCTTTAATACCTTTTTCAATTAAGATTAGTGAAAATGAAATAATGAGTAAATTTGATTTCATTCTTAGTTTTCAACATGATCTGAATCTAAATGAATTCTCATGCACCATTAATGCTTCACTCGATTTATTTAATGTTGAAACAGTTAGCATAATTTCACAAAGATTACAGACAATGTTACATCAACAATTCACATCTTTTGGTTCTACAGCAAATAAACCTATCTATGAATTATCATTAATACTATCAAATGAACAATATCTAATGCAATCATTAAATAACACACAAATATCATTTCCATCTGCTTCCACTTGTATCCATCATGAATTTGTGTATCAAGTAATGAAACATCCACAAAAACTAGCTGTTGAGCTTGATGAACAATCATTGACATATTGTGAACTATTGCATTATGTTCAAGTTTTATCTTTAACTCTTCTTAATGAATATCATGTGTTTCCAGGTAAGGTGGTGTGTCAATGTGTTGAGCGAAGTTTGTCAATGGTAAGTTGATCAGTAGAAATAATTGTTTGAGATAATAAAAAATACGTTTGAACTAGGTGATTGGTATAATGGCAATTGAAATGGCTGGCGGTGTTTATTGTCCATTATCATCTCGAGATCCACAACATCGTTTGCATGCACTCACACAACAAACACAAAGTCATCTTGTTCTTGTTCATTATTTATCTAAGACCAAATTCGATGATAATATTATTTCACTTGATATTGATTCAATATTAATTATGAATGATCTTAAAAGTGACATGGATTATGATTGTCTATCAAGTGTGATAGCTAAAGGTGAAGAAGTAGCCTACATTATTTTTACTAGTGGTTCATCTGGAATTCCGAAAGCGGTACGGTAGAAAGATTGTGACATAATGTATATTTAACAGTGAAAGTTATTTTCTAGGTTCAACTGAGACAGCAAAATTTTATCAACTCATTATTAGCTTTGGTTTATATTGATACACTACACAAAAATGATATTGTAATTCAAATAGCTAGTGCGATGTTCGACGCGCATCTGCAGGAAATTGTAGGATCTCTTATCTGCGGTGCAACACTAGCCATGCTACATCCACAGGGTAATATGGATTTTCAATATATCAATGGTATTTTACATGACAAACAAGTGACATATCTGGTAGCGGTTCCGAGTTATCTCAATCATTTATGTGACTTCCTCAAACAAAACAGATTTCCTCCATGGATACTAATGAGAAATATTAACTGCGTCGGTAAGTTGAACAAGAGCACGCGAAATAGAATAAATATTGATTAATTTATCAACATAGGTGAATCAGTGTCGTCAACTTTCATCAAAATACTGATGCGGTTTGTCGCCAAATCCTGTCGAATCTGGAATCTTTATGGTCCTGCGGAAGTCACACTTGGAACTTCATGTTACCAAATTGATGTGACCTCTCACATAAATGATCTTCCCATTGGCAGACCATTACCTCATTATATATGCTTAATTCTAAACAACTTCTTACAACCTGTTATGAATCAGAAAGAAGGAGAACTACTAGTGGGAGGTGCAGGCGTCTTTGCTGGTTATCTTGGACGTGATGATTTGACAGCAAAAGCTCTTATTGAAATAGATGATCAACTATTTTATCGAACAGGTGATCTTGTTAAAATGGATAATAATGGTCTTCTTCATTATCAAGGAAGAAAAGATCATCAAATCAAACTTCATGGACAAAGAATAGAACTTGGTGAAATCGAACGATGTTTACTTAACATCACATCCGTAACTGCTTGTGTTGTCGTGAAATGGAATGATGATCATTTAGTCGCTTATGTTCAAAATTCTGACATTAACGAACAAGAATTGCGTGAACATTGTCAATCTCATCTTCCAACACATATGATACCACCCATATTTGTTATACTTGACAAATTACCTTTGAATCAAAATGGAAAAATAGACAGAAATCAACTTCCTTCACCCGACTTTTCTTTACCGACTTTGCTATCGTCGAATAAATCTGATACACCTCTGAATCAGTTCGAAGAACGTATACATACCATTTGGTGTCAAGTTCTCCATTGTGATGAAAGTCACATTTCTACAACTACCAGTTTTTTTAGTGTCGGTGGTCATTCACTTTTATTTATCCAACTTTATCATCATTATCAATCAACATTTAACTTTGATGCTCATGCACTTTCGATTGCTCCATTTCTTCAACAACCGACTATATTTCAACATTCACAACTACTTCAAATAGTCATAACGAATAGTATCAAGACAACACAATGGTACACCTTACATATAAATGAAGGTAAAAATATTTTCTTGAAAACTATTAAAATAAATTCGGTTATTTAATTGACAGGTGTTGCCTCTTTTGCTCAAGAACGTATTTTTCTCGATGAACAAGTTCGTTTTTCGAGTGATATTGCTGTCTATAATGAACTGATTACTTTACAAATTGTTCAAGGATCATTATCGTTAAATCGTTTATTACAAGCATTTCGATTTGTTTTGAATAAACATAAAATATTACATACATCTCTTATATTTAACAATAATGATGGTATTTTGAGACAATGTATTACCGATATACATAAAGCATTCACAATAACTATCAATCAAACATTTCAAAATGACAATGAACTTCGAGATATTATTTATCAAACAACTATTAATCCTACTCTCTTCGATTTATCAACTGGTCATGTTTTTCATGCTGAAATTCTGAGACATCAGATATCATTAAATGAAAATGGAAATAATAGCAATGAGTTCATAACTAATTCTGATGTTTTCCTCATTGCTTTTCATCATGCAGCATTTGATCGAACAAGTCGTTCAATCTTTTTTAATGATTTATGTTCAGCGTATGATACTAATGCAACATCGATAGAAGATAATGATGAATCATTGCAATATATAGATTATAGTATATATGAACGTCTAATTGATATGACAACATCTCGTGAGTTTTGGTATTTGCAATTAGAAGAATACAATTTGGAATCTCGATTGTCATTACCAGTTGATCGACATCGTTTGTCTAATGATCATCGATCGAGTTCTGCTTCTGCTACTCAAATCTCTTTTGACAATGAGATTTCACAATTATTTCTTGATTATGCTTCTATACATCATGTGACACTATTTCAATTGGGTTTGAGTATATTATATGCTTTTCTTTTCAAGTTAGCACACGGTGAAAATGATTTATGTATTTCGTGTCTTAATGCTAATCGATACAGAACAGAACTACAGAATATAATGGGAATGTTTGTTTCAACACTACCATATCGTGCTCAACTTGATCTTCATTGTTCATTTGATGAACTTGTTAAATATGTAAGAGAAAAATGTTTATCAATTCTTGAACATTCTCATTATCCACTTCAACATATTCTTGCTAATTTACAAATTAATCAATCAAATATTTCATTTCTTGAAACAATGTATGACTTTATTACTATATCGTCGCACAACGACGAATTATCCTTGGATGGAGCAAGTTTCAAACAAGTGTTCCTAGAACGATCGTTTGAAGTGGCTAAGTTTGATTTTATGTTAATGTTTGTCTACAATCCAATGTTGGAACATAATAGATTATCATTTTATTTAACTTGTTCACATGATTTATTTGATGAGATTACAGTTACAAATATAGGTCGAAGACTAGAATATTGTCTTCAACAACTTTTTTCATCGAATGAAACTATCAATCGAATTGATACATGTTTTACATCTATATCGAAAATTAATCTTATTCTACCAGAAGAAACTGAAGAAATAGAAGATATTATGTTACGTCGACAATCACATATTATAAACGAAGGTATATTTATCTAGACAAAGTTTTTCTTAATTTACATTTATATTGACAATCAATAAAGTATGCAAAAATATTACTGCGCATATGTTCCTATATCGCTCGGATCATCTGAGCAGTGGGACACAGCCATAAAGTGAGTGAGTGACTATCGATGAGTGTGAATGTGGAATCCTCATTCATATACACACCCATACCAACCCTCAGGATTTTTCTCGTATATGCCACGATAAATTCATCATTCCAGAAGGTTTTTTCTAAAGATGACTACGTGATAGTGTGAAATGTCCTACGGTTTTTGCCCTTTTTACTTTGAAAACTAGCATTTTTAAGTAAAGCGTCATTTTTCTACTTAAAATAAGTATTTATGTCACCGATAGAACTTTTGTTTCACCTTCGTATAATTGCACACATGCCTCTCGTTCACAATAACATTAGTTATACTATTTAGAAGTTTCATTCATAGAGTACTTCGATAGTGTTTGAAACTCACACAAGATAGATCTCATAAGCAATATCATTAATCATATCTGATTGTTTTCTGTTTCATATAGCACCAGCATCACTTGCACAAATCCGACTGTGGCATAATGAATCTGTTCATTTCACTTCTGACATATCACAAATACCAATCTGTAACATGGCCTTTGTATATCAGCTACACTATCATCATAATTTATCGTTACAACATTTTCGTTATACTCTTCAACTAATCGTTACCAAACATGAATCACTTCATACATCACTCATCTACGATTCCAACAAAAATATACTCATGCAGAGAGTTCTCATTCAACAAGATATCAATAATGACATGTTCACAATTACTCAAAGCACTTATGAAACAGATGAACAACTCAATCGCATCATCGAAAATGAGAAATGTAATCCTCAACTTTTCGATCTTGCTCAAGGTCTTGTCTTTCGATCTCATATTGTTTACCATAAACAAATCTCTTCAAACAACATTCTTTCTGATAAAGATATAATTATCTTCAATTTTCATCATGCTTTCTTTGATTATCCATCAATGAACATATTTCTTCATGATCTCAACCAAGCTTACAAAACAGGTCAACTCACAACTGATAATAATACTATTCTACGTTATATCGATTGTAAGTGTATTCAATTCTTTGTTCTATTCAAACTACTTTTTCTTTCTTCTTATTTAGATGCTTTTATTGAACAACAAATGTCAATGACTGGTGCAACTATGTTTTGGCTTGATACACTTTATGATTATCATCTCGAACAATCTTTATCATTACCATATGATCGATATCGTCTTATGACCGAACATCGAACTAATCGAATAACATCTATTTCTTTTGATTTTGGGCAAGATCTTTCCCATCATTATTTTCTCTATGCATCATCAAACAATATCAAACATGAACATCTAGCACTTGCTCTTTACTTTATCTTCTTATTTAAATTAACGAATGGTGAAAAAGATTTATGTATTTCAATGAACATTGATAATCGTTTTAGAGATGAACTCAAATCCATAATTGGACTGTTTGAGAATGTCATTCCACTACGATGTCAACTAGATCCCCATTGGACTAATCATTATCTATTCAATTATGTTCGAGAGATGACAACAAATAGTATGAAATATTCATATTTTCCTCTTCAACGTATTCTCAGTCAACATCCAAATGTTTCAAAACCACCATGCCTTGATATATCATTTGAATTTTTATCATCGATGACAAGAAGGGATAATAAACTAATAATGATTGGTGATAGTCAACTTTCTTCAGTACCCTTCACAATGAATATTAATGATAATGTGATTACAGATAAGTATGATTTCTCACTTCTAATCCAACATGATATCCATATCAATCAACTCTCATGCACAATCAATGCATCACTTGATTTATTCAATGTAGAAACAATTGATAAGATATCTCAACGATTTCATTCGATCTTGAAACAATTATTTACATCTGTTGATGACCAAATAGAGAAATCAATCTATGAAATATCATTAACATTACCAAATGAAAGATTACTCATGCAATCATTGAATAATACACAAGTATCATTTTCATCTCCTGTCACTTGTATTCATCATGAATTTGTATGTCAAGTAATGAAACATCCACAAAAACTAGCTGTTGAACTTGATGAAC